TCCAAAAATGGAAGGACAACTGTATCAGGTTTAATCCTACCCAGAAGTGGTTGGCTATCTTGAGATGCAAAATGCTTCCTTCAGATTCAGCAATGGTAGAGCACTTTCTGAATTAGGCTGAATAAACAGTTATTAATTAAGCGATCTTTTCAAAATTAACTAGTATTTGTAAACTTTAATCGAAATTAAGTTTTTAAGTAACTTGGAAATATTTGAAAGAACATGCTATTTCTGAGTTAAGGCAGTTTAAACATTCGCGTTATGCGAGTGTCATACGATTCATGTGAAATGACAGTTTGGGTACTCAAAGTCATCTAGTGTTCTGATGGTAAGTTTCCAAATGCCTGACTGGATACTGCGATATCCATTAAGTCTGCGTATGCCTCTTATAGTTCTGATTTTGCCGTTCTTCCGGCCTCCCATTTCTTTCTCTCGTAACCCCGCTCATTTTTCTATTTTTTTGTGCTCTGGCATGAATTTACCATTGCACTTTACTTCGTGCTTGCACACATGCCATTTACGCTTCCCAGCTATTCGACTTTAACTTTTTAACTGGATGCAGCAAAGTTAAGTCAATCCTTTATTCAAAACAATTATATCATCCATCAGTTTTCACTGCTAACTATTCTTTCCAAGTATAGAGGCGACAACTTTTGCAGGTTTTGTTAATCGATACTTCTTTGCGGTGGGAACCAGTACATAATGACAGCATTTACACTCTGTTTGGAACTGACACCCTATTCAGTCAAGAGCAGTTATGCACATGAACGAAATACCTGAACTAGTTTTCCCTTCATTGCGTTGCTTCCCTGCACAGTTAAATGATGGTGATGATCGCTTAACTGATTGATTCAAGTGATAAGTAATAATTCGACACCGTCGATACTGTGTATTGCTTTACCAGTTTATGTGTTAAGTTTCGCGAGTGCGCTTCGCTCATGATGAAACGGACCGTTTTGCGGCTGGCTCGTTGGATGGGTCAATATCTGTTCATCACTTGAATCTCTTAGACCCAAGTCTCAGCAGCAGTTACTCTCTCACTGGCCATAGAGGAGGTGTGACAGGTAAATATACTTTCTGTAGCATTTATAAACTTCAAATATGTACATGATATGAACTTAAAAACTCATCTGTTGAATCTATCTTTCTTGTGATAGCAAATAGATTAGGTTCAGTGATTATGGAAACAACAGAAGAACAATGTTTGCATTTTTATTTTAAACCTGACGTTTTAGCCAGGCGTCGGCCATCATTGCCTTAAACGACAACCGGCGCTGACAGTCGATAGAGACGATACGTTTGGCCACTTGTTATATTTGTGACCATTGAATTTTGATAGTTATATGGTACACGTATGTGTGTGTTTGCTACGTAACGCCCTACTATGTTTGGTCTCAAAACGCTAGCCTTTGCTCTAATAAGGAATATGGATGCAGTATGATGTTAGAGGCTCTGGGGTGTGTCCGAAGCATTGCAACAGTAAGGTTGCAAATTTACTTCATGAATCCGATCCTCAAAAAATTCTGATTTTCGCCAACATAAGGGATGTCAATACCCAAATCACTCCAAATGATCCAAGTGAAATAAATGTATAGTTGAAATTAAAACAAAGAAAAATGAAACTGTAAACAAAACTGTGGAATGAAGGAGACCGCAGCCAATCTCTGTAGAGGATAGACATGTGACTTCTAAAATATTAATGAAGCAGTTAATGTTCTGTCTTTGTTGATGGTCAGAAATGGAGGGTACGGAATTTGGCGGGTCGGCAAATAACTCGGAACAACATTGGAAACGTGACGAATTACCATGATCGAAATTGAATATCTCGACCAGACTCTGGACCGATCACCGCTTTTGAGGTTTTGTAGCTCCCCGTGTTAAAAGCCTTGTCGAGCTTCGTCACTGTCATCGCCCTTCACAGTAACTTTTCCGACGTTTTTTTCGTGAATTACAGTTTTCTGGTTCATATCCGGCATTGATGACAGAGAGCTTTGCAACAGTTGGTGAACTGTAGCTATTAACTAGGTAAATGGACAACTTTCTGCAGTTATTTATAAAGCCATTGCATTGGAAGTCAGCATAATTTTGCTACACACTAAATGTCTTGTTTTCTTTTATTATCTAACGACATTTTTATATATAAATTGCTAAATATCATGGCTTTTTTATGATTCGTTAAATTCTGAATGTGAATTGCATATATTTCTTGAGCATATCTGCTCCACTAATAGTTTTCTAACAGATATTTTATGGTCGACGTCGAATGATCTAATCGTTTCGTGCTCTTGTGATGCAACACTTCGCATCTGGAATCCTCTCTCAAGGCAGTGCATCCGAATTGTTTTCGACACCAGCGCCGTTCTGTGTTGCTTGTTTCATCCGGTGAATAACAACTTTGTTGTGGTAATTGGCGAAGCATTTGATTTTTCTGTGCCAACCTCAGTTGAAGTGGGACTTTTTCAGACCGGCAATGAACGTGGCCTAGTTCAGCTGCTTAACATATCGACTGGAAAATACGTGAAAGTTTGTGAATATTTCGTTACCAGTTACTTATTTACGTTTTTCGAGGTCTCAAGTCTTCGTAAGCTTGTATGTTCTTTCAGTATGATAAAAGTTTCCAAGAATACTGATGTCTGTACATGAATACCTCTTCTTGATGCGAGCCGTTTATTTTGCCTCCGTGCAAAAATTATTTTTTAAATTTCGATGTCTTTGCTTCGATGCGTAACGACTACTTTTCTGTTTGCTTTCCTGTTGCAGCAATTTCATGAAGCTTTTTTCTGATGTTTCACATTCTCCGCCAGTCGGTCTGGTTCGCCATCTCCATAGGACCAACAGTTTTGGGTTAATGTGGTGGCACAAATATCAAAGTGGTCGGCTTTAAAATTCCGAAGTACCTGGTTCAAATCCGCTCAAGAGAAAATCTTTGTTTTAACCGCGAATTTCCTTCAGGAAGGTGATGAACTCCACGTTGCTTCGGCGTAAGCAGCCGAGAAACGGCACCAAATCGTTGACTTAGAAAAATAGGGAGAGCATGGTATGCAAGGATCAGATTTACGGCCATGTTACCTGATGCGTTTGTGGCTGCATTTCGCCTTGACATACTTGACTGCTTACACATTTGCGAGCAGCAGATGAACGTATAACATAATTTGTCATGTAAGAAATAAATGAATGCAAAATAATAAATGAAATAAATGCAGTATAATAATTGTCTTTTCATTTTTACGTTGCGCAATCGATACATTTAGTCTGGAGTTTTGATTTCGAAAAATAGTCATCCGTGAGGCAATAGGTCTAAAAAAAGTACGATTATTTGCTTTCCTATTATTAGTCGTAACGAAAGCATAAGCCAGGGAACAAGAAACTTCTCTATGTGCCTCTGCGGTAAACTCGATTTCAGCATGCAAGCCTTCAGTAATGTTTGTTCTGAGATTTGGCGTTGACTGTGTTCTGTAGCTGCTAACGTTGCGAGGAAAAGTTTAAATGAATCCAAAAACTTTCAGCCAACGAGGTAACCTGTAGCAAACAGATATTGTTCAGGCAAATCTGTCACTGGTAAGAATGTGAAGGCTAAGAATCGACAATGCTGAATCACGGATCAATTTTTGTGTTAATCAGTAACCATTGTTTGACGAAACTCGTTTTTGATTCCCTGCGAATAGAGGATGATGTCGTTTGCCATCAACTGAAGTGGGAATCAGGGCTACATGTGAGGGACTATTTATGACTGACAAGAAATGAAGTACCATTTATGACACGGTAGGAACTGGCAGATGCCGTAGTCGGCATGTTGACATAATGCACGTCTACATGTCGTGCACCAGATGAAGGCAGAAGAGTTCTGTATTTAGTGTGCGTAAATGTTGGTTTTCCATCGGTTTTTGGTATATTAATTGTTTCAATTTTTGCTCACTTTAGTCGTCTACGATCAGGACAGGCGGTTCAGCAACGTGCGTCTGTTGCGACAACATTGGAAAGTTCTTTTGGGTCGGTGACAGCAAGGTAATCCGAAGCTTACGCAATTGCTTTCTACCATCAGAATCATTACAGGGCTCAGTTTATGCGTTTGTCATTCATCTGACACCGGGAAAAATATTCAAAGGAAAAAGGTATAGTTTGATTATCTGTTTAACCGTTCACGCCGATACGCACCCAACGTAGAACCATTCTGATGGACAGCGTTCCGGTGACGTCCGTCGAAGTGAGGGCATTAATCAGTCGAGGAGTGAGTGAAAACTGGCTTTTGGCGGATCTACGGGCGAACGCAGCTTGTCTCTACAGGTTTTTACCCTCTTCATCGTTTCTCCTCGATTTTGTCACTTTTTTTACCGTTAATTAATGCAGGGTTAAATTTAGTAAAGTTTCAATGTTCACTTCGTTTCTTAAGTAATGATTGGCTCTTAGGTGATTGCATTCACGGTTTATAGCCGTTGAAAAAGTCATAGTCAGCTATAACACTATTGGATGGAAGTAGGAGATTGCATATTACAGTAGCCGCTTCTCTGTAGCTATTTCCGTAGTGAAGATAGATCAGTTTAACATAATATAACGGCATACGTCACATTCAGATTTACGGAAATAAATATTCTTATGATAAATGTTTATTGTATTTACGTATTAAATAAGTAGATTAATGCGCAAAATAGAATTTCACGGCGTATTGAGAACTTATTTATGGATGTTTAAGGAAAGGTTTAAAAAAAGCTGCGGCTGTACCGTTTGAGCATCTGCAATCCGTGCTACATGATCTTCGCATTATTTGTTAACAGCCAATGTCGTTTCAGTAGTTGATGCTCCTTATATCGTTTTTGCAACCATAAAAAATACTAATTCATGTGCTGGGACCTGCTAGTAAGCGATTAACTACTTTGAAGTGGGTTAGAGCGGGATCGTCTGTTTGCTCCTGGTTGCTTAAAAAAATTGAGCGATGCAGTGGTTCCATGGTATTTAAATATCTGCAGACGCAGCTCAGATCATTTGGTAGTTAGAACAGTTCTGTGATCATAATGATGCCTTGTCTCAGTGTCTCAGTGTATGATTTCTTGGCTTGTCTCAGTCTATGATTTCTCAAAAGTGCTTAAAGCTGAACAATAGGGTTCCCCAGGTGGGACTGTTTTGAAATAGT